TAAAGTCAGTTTCAAACAATCTGTGTTGATGTACGCGTAGATTGTGCGTCATTAGTTGTCAACCTGTCAGGGTAATGTATGAATACAACATACAACATGTTTCATAATATTTGCTTGGGGAGAGCCCTGCACATAATTTCCCGCCAGTACTGAATAGTCATAAATTTGCCCCCCTCCCCACTACATGCACCACAGAGTAGAGTAGAGTAGAGTAGATCTTTCGTCTCGGTCTGGCCAAGGATTGTGGCTAGTATGGCTTCAAGAGTGACTTAACTAGCCAAGGGAAATTCCTGAGCTACAATGAGAAAAAAATCGATGTATACTCACGACTGATTTGGCCGGATTCCCGACCCTGACAGGCGCGGCTTCCCGTAATGAATACATCCAAACTTCACCGCTTTATAAACATGAGCACACGGAAACTTTTGGACGCCTTCAGGTAATTTCCTGTTCTCAGTTTCCACCTTCTTGCTACTGATCTTACTGAGCTCAGCGTGTGTTGTTTCTTGATAGTTGTCCAGTGCTGCCTTAAACTCTGCCCAAGTGAGAAATTCGTCCCCTAACTTCAGTAGGGACGGCGCGGCAGCCATGTTGGCGCGAGAGACCAGGCCAGCGGGAGACGAAAAATAGCGGGAAATCCCTGTCGAGTGCTGATTGGCTGACATTCTGGTCGTAGGTCAAAACCCTGTGTCGACCGAACTTCGGTGGAGATTTCCGTGTTGTTTTCTGATTTTCATCATCCAATAAGATAAACTTGAAGACCGAGGTTTAAACTTGGTGCCCCTGAATCCTCAAACACTCACAAAAACCCAAGTTTTGGGCCTACCAAGGAGGCTAGTATTTCGGAGTGTATATAAAATCTATTTGTCTTTTATATACACACCGGGAGTGTATATAGCCACGGCGTAAAGTTAACTTTACGCGCAGTATAAAAACGTTCCGTCACTATCAAAGTAAAATCAGATTTTTATTCCAGCTCCTTTATGCAATCATTTGCTACATTCACTTTTCCAATGTTGACACAAGCATTAGGAAACTAACTATAAGTTGTAACTCTTATTGCACGCAGGACATCTGGGAATGTGGAGGCCCACTCCATGCGCTGAATGAGCTCAACTTTGCAGCCAAGGAAAAGCTAAAGGTGCTGCGGGAGAGGATAGAGGTGGGTGATACAGCATTTAAAATGTGCGTACAGCTGTGCCTATGCATAAGGCTTAGGCAACAGCAGCTGAAGACAGGAAATGAGGTGACATTTGCACCATTCAGTTCCTCACAGGCTGTGGGGAGTCCATTTAGACTTCCAACTTGTGCTTCCTGTCAATCTTTAGTCTTTAGTTACAAATTCACTGCTTCCCTTCCTGCCACTCTATTGCATTCAAACACCTTTGCACACAAGCAAACACACAAATGCCATTGAAGTGAAAATAAGACCTCTGTCTGTACACAGTGTACATTTAACATTTCTGAGGTAGGATTCTTCCCCCAAATACTAGTAAGCTGTTTTATATGACAGGACTTGGAAAGGCTTGCCCGGGAGCAGGACAGGGAGACCACAAAGAGGCTACTTCTGGACGATGTGGAAAATTACAAGCAACAACTCATAAGGTGACTAGAATGGACTGAGTCAGATTTCACACATTGATGCTGTGAAAATAGCAAACAGTTTGGTATTCTCTGGTTGTTGATGATGATGAAAACTGGTTGATAAACTCATTGGTTATGGCATAATAATTTGCACGCTGTATGTATTGCACCAGTTTCTTTACTCTTTTTCTAGCACACAGACAACCCTGAGAAAAGCCAACCTGGCCTGTAAAATGGCCATTGACCGAGGAGAGAGGGAAGATTTGTTCAAAGGAGAGGATGGAGAAGTCAGACAAAGGTAGAGTTATCTGTTCATTGAAATACACCTTGTGTTTGGTCTTCTTTGTGTCGGGTTGGAGAGAAGGAATTATCAATTAGTGGACTAGATGCTAGATTTCATCACCTGGCCAATGTGACCACCAAAGGATAATTTTGCCCATTGACACAACTACATGTATTAAGAATCCTGTCTATATTGTACTACGAGTCTGAAAATTCATGTTTGAAACTTTGATTTTTCTTCCCAGAAAACACACCAAGGAGCAACTGACGAGGACAGCAGGAAACATCACAGAGAATCTGATGTCCATCAGCCGTATGATGGCCAATAACGTCAAACAGAGCGAGAACACTATGCACACATTAGGTACAGGCTCTCTACAGAACAAGCTGATATTTGTTAGCCAGGGTGCCATCCTACATATAAGTCATTGTTCCAGACTCTATGGTCACGACTCACAAGTGAAAAAAGAGATCCAGCTGTAAGTACGGAGGATGGCACCCAGCTTAAATATTTGTCCAGGTGTATAATCTGTCTGTTATTCTCTGTATTTTATGGATGTCTAACCTTCATCAGTATGACTATGGGAACAAGATTGAGAAGTCAGTAAACAGTTAACAACTCACAAATTTAACTTGTGAATCATGCATCATTCACATTTTCTTTTTCCAGTTAGTTCCTCGAAGACGGTGGGCGACACCCATGAAGAATTTAAGAGCCAAGGAGGGACCATTCAGATCAGCCGCAAGCTCCTGTCCAAGTATAACAGGAGAGAACTTACAGACAAGCTGCTCATCTTCCTTGCTGTGGCATTCTTCTTTGCAACTGTCTTGTACATCCTGAAGAAGAGAGTTTTCCCCTCATGACACACATGCAGGGATAGATAGATGTCCTTGTGTGGGGTTGTGTATGCTACGTCAGAAGACTGTCTCAATTAGAACTGACCTGACTACATTATGCTTCTAGCAGCCCTTCCACTGGTCAGGCCACTAGAAGCTTGATGACCAACACCAGTGAAGAGAATTGGGAACATCCAGTGTACAAAATACTTTTTTGAACCAGGTTGCCCAGTGGGCAACCTATGGCAAAAATTAGGTTGCCCATCAGAATTTTAGGTTGCCCCACCTATAAGTTACTACTTTCCTCAAATTGAGTAATGTTACATACATTTATTAAGCCTTTGACAATATTTCTAACAGACTTTAGTTAACTGATACTAGTAATTAAGCCATTAATACCAAAAATTAAAAAGCATCTGCTGGATACAGTGGTGCAAGCCAAGTGGGGGGGGGGCATTCTTAAAATTCGGCTAGCACACTGGGCTACCTAGGTTCAAAAATAGGTTGCCCCAAGTAAAATTTGGTTGCCCAACCCAATTTTGCACGCTGAACGTCTTAATCCTCTTCATTTATGCATATGTGCTAACATGGACCAATGATATTCATACTGAAGACTGTCTGTTACCATAGTGTTGAAGGCTGTGTGTGCCTGGCTTCTATAGTGACAGAGAATCCTGATCTATTGGACTGATTTTGGGAGCGATAAAGAACCCAGAGTTGTGGGAATGATTTTCTAGAGTTAAAGGTATACATGTATGGTCACAAGCTCTAGAGAAGGAGGCCCAATCAGCCCCTGACAGTGAGAGGTTGTGACAAACACAGACTAAAGTGGACATTATATATGGTAGTGTCCTTGAGTGGACATGCAAATGCAAAACAGAAGGGCAAGGAGAGAATGTAGCAGAGACATTGAGAATAAGACAGATAAACACAGGTAGTTGGACAAACTATGGAAACGAAGAATGGAAATGGACCAGCATTCCTAGAAAGGAAGAAATAAATGAAAGGGCCCAGCAAACATATGATGTTTGCTCTTGTTTGAATAGTTTTGAACACATCATATTGTGCAAATGTATATAAAAGTAGTTGTAACATTGTAAAGCTTACTGCTCCTAATCATTCCTTAGTCTTGTGGATTATTGCCATTAAAAGCTGTGATGGCCACCAAGAATGCAGGCTACATTCTGCTTAAATCCTGGAGTCAGTCCGTTCCTCAGCTTTAAGGTGAAAAACAGGCATTGTCAGAGGTTGAACAAGGGCAAAAAAAATTAGAAAATATGCAGGCAAGAAGGACAACAAAAAATTAAATTTAAAAACAGCTTCTGGCTGTGGTATGCTCCAATTTGACATACTGGTATTGTAAAAGATCTGAAGTTAATGATACACGTATTTCATTTGATCACAAAATTATGTCCATCCGTTCAGCCCAAACAATCCTCTTACGGAAGATTTCTGTGTGCATATTGATTTTTGTACATCATCCTTTCGTTGGGCAGTGATCTGGGGCCGACAATGTCCAAGGTCCAAAATAACACATTAACGTAAATCGTCTTAAAATTTGTGATCTATCTCCATCAAAATTGTTGGAAATGGCAGACTTGTATTGTATAGTGAATCGGGGAAAAATGAACGCAAGTACATAACGTTATCATCAAAATGTTTTTTTTGCAAAGCAAGATTAACGATTTCCACACCCCATGTACGACGTAGAGATTTTTTTAATCCGCTTAAGCTATTTTTGCGGGTTTGAAAATAAAGCGACCAGAGCGGCGACAACATGTTTTCATCAGCGTTTTTTTATGTTTCTCGGCACGATGACTAGTGAACACATCTGCCCTAACGGAGAGTAATCGTGTTAAACAGGGCAGCATGTGGCAACACATCACGCTAATTTCCGAAATGGGCCCGAAAACCATGACATGAAAAGGGGTCTGTATGATTATCTGCCCGTTTGAGTGTTCCTATGGTAACGATTGCCGCGGGCAGTGTACGCGCACACTGATCTCACGATCACGACCTCATTATTTTAGCAGCGGAAAGAATTGTGCAGCCATCCGGACAGGACGTCTACATCTCTGTTGCACTGGCCTGGGAAGGAGGTGGGAGGTTGCGACTTGTACTGGTGCAGTTCTCCTCTTACGACTTCAGCTTTCAAGCTCCTCTAAAGAGGGAGGCCTTCCAAAGCCAGCAAAATAAGCTTTTTCTCAAAAGACTTGCAGAAGCCTCCATTGAGAGAAGACGTCCATCCCAAGATTAGATAACTAAGAGTGAGAGTGACGCTTGAGACCGTACCCCTAGCCTCCCTAGGGTGCTTCGTCGGACAAGAAGACAGGGTGCTCCAACGCCACTACAGGCTATAGTTACAGAAGTCGGGTACCGTATTCGCTAGGCTGTCTCACAGGTACTGGTCTTCAAACTCAAATGGAGGGAAATTTCAGCGATTTCAACGCGACTACCATCGAGCTTGCGCACCCCAATACCACAGGACAATGTTTTGAATGGTACGCGGAAAATGACGTCGGGGTAAACTTCACTTTTGAAGCTATCAAGAAGATTTGTGGAAAGTCAGACTGGGGACCATTTTCTTTCCCAGGAAGACAAGCTTTCACAATTACCATAAGTGTTATCTCTAACCTGCTCAACGGCCTGACCATTTTTGGAATCGCCAAAGGACAGCAATGCACACCTCTATACGGCCTGATTGGCAATCTGGCCGTAATAGATATAATCACCAACGTAATTGTCCACGTAATGTTTGCGCTGAAAGATTCCGTGACGTATCGACATTTTATGCTACTGATCGTGACGGTGTTGCACTTTCCCGTGATCCTGTCTCTAACCGGACTGGTCCTCCTGTCGGTGGACCGCTACATCGCCGTCCAACACGCCATCTTCTACCACAACAGCGTCCGCTGCCGCCACGTCCTGGGGGCGATGGCCGGAGGCTGGGTCTTCGCGGCTCTCCTTTGCTTCTCGCCGATGATGGGGTGGAACTGCAACGCGATGGGCACCAGTGACCAACTCTGCTTCCTCGGGGCCGTGGAGAGCAGCTACATCCTGTTCATGACTGTCCTGTGCATGGCCGGGGTGGGTGTGGTGGTCTTCACCAACGTGCGCGTCTTCGCGGTGCTGAGACGGCGGCTGGCGGTGGCAGCGCTCCAGGAGCAGCAGCAGCACGAGCAGGGGCGGGTTCACATCCACCGGCAGCAGGTCGTCACCGCGCAGAGAAAGGCCAGAAGCGTTTTCCTCATCATCACCGTGTTCCTGATTGCCTGGCTGCCTTTTCTGTCCTGGCAGTTAACAGTACTCGTCAGCATTCACAACAGTTGGGACGGTTTGGTTGGCATCAACAAGCTCTTTAGGTGTGTGTTTATCCTTGTCATAGGGTTGGTCCCCTTGGTGAATCCGTTTGTGTACGCCTTCCGACTGCCGGCGCTGAGAAGAGTGGTCTGGGACAGTCTGAGAAACGGCCTGGTCTCCCTATGGCGGCATCTCGCTCCGCCGCAACAGGTACACCCAGCCTCAATAGAAATGTTTGTCACCAATGCTACTTAATTAATGAGCTTCTATGATCGTGTACACTTAGACATGTACAAGTAACGTTAATGACTTAAGTTGACCAAACAAGTTGGCACCAACATGCTCACAACTCCCTTTCCGATAGATGAGCTGACAAAGAAACAAGTTGACTCTTCTCGGTTAGCTTAGTATCACACTTTTGTCTACTATGTGTGTTTGATTCGTGTATTGTTGTCAACACTTTTCAATATTGTTCATGCAATAGACAACCTGTACCTTACCCCTTGAGGCATTAATATACAATTAAAGTGTTCCATAATTTCTAATCTGTGCCTTGTCTCTGAACAAATTCTGCTCCATGCCTTTCTAACTACATGTACTTCTAATGAGCCAAGGTATGGCATAGCCATGGTTGTCAATGGACCAAGAAAGAAATAACAATTTATCTATCAACACACCTATCAAAACATGAAAAAATACATATATGACTTAGAAATTTATTCAGAATGACTATTTCATAACTATTGCATTAAAGACAAGTTCATACATTTATCTCCTATTACCACAGCAGCAATTCTTCTAACTACATGTGATATGGAAACATGCAGGCCACCCAATATTCCTCACCCTCAGTTTGCTAAATTAGACCGATAAAAAAGGCACTTGTGGCCCCCAAAGATGTTATCATAAGTAAAGATACTGACATTTTTATGGCTGTTGTGTAACAACTTTGATACAAAGTTTCATAGACCCAGCAGAATAAATAGGTACAGATATGTATTGTGCAGCTCCCCAGCTCCCAATACATGACAAGACAGACACCAATACCTGAGTACTACCAGAAAATATATGGTATAAAAACTATATTTATCATATGTCCCAGTGAAGTTTTATATGGAGTTTAGTTGATGATGTTTGCCCACCATTTGATCATACTTGTACTAATTATAAATCATCATGTTAGCAATGACAGCTATCTAATAATTAAGATAGTCGCCTCTTATTAGAGGTAAAAATAAATTCATCAAGACATCATCATTATATTAGGTAGGATATTTAGCACATGTACAATATATATTCAATTTTGCATAATACATGTACATTGATTAATCTTCGAAGTTGGTGTGTTACACCAAAGGGCATTTATACTGGTTACAGATATAGATATTGCAATGGCCATTTTGTGTTGAAGCGTTTGCCTTGTATGGAGTAGTTGTTCCATATCAGGCCTCCACAGGTATCCCTGCAGATGAAATGCCGCCATGAGGACCTGTTTCCTCACAGCGATGTCTCTGCGACCTCCACCCCCATCTCCACCTCCTCCCCAGATGAGTCCCGGGGTGTGAAGATGACCTGGTCCTCCACCGTGGGGCGGGACACTGGCAGCCACTTGTACGGCGGGATCTCTGCCTGGGTCACCTCCCAGTGGAAATTCCGCAGGAGGTACTTAGTGACGTGCTGGAGCAAGAGAGAAAATGGCAGGTCTTTACATTCTTTAATACCAAAGGTGTACATGTATATTTTGTAAACTGCATATTTAAGAAATATGAAACAAATGAGAAATAATTAACCCAGACAAAAGTGTTGTTAAATTTTAGAACTTTGTTGGATACACATTGGACAAAGAAACAAAAGTTGTTTTAAAAGTGTTTCAAAAGTCCTCTTTCACCATTCAATTCTTCATATTGATGACAAAATTTTGCCCTTACTTTTGTGTATCCAGCATATCAACTTGTATGGTTCCAAGAGGAAAGTAATGAGAGGTGGCATGGCCATGGTTAACCATCCTCTGAAGTTGCCAAGACACTCCTGCAAGGGATAGGTAGGTGACAGGGGAGAGAGATGGGAAGAAAAGGAGACATGCAAAGTGAGATGGTATTAATATAATAAAGAACAGGAAAGGATGGAAAAAGGTGGCTGCACCCCAGTGCCCTTCCAGACCACAGAAAAGGAAGAAAGACAAGCCTCTGAAAAACTGGATGGTCTAAGGGACTGTACGATATTTACCGGGGGGGAGGGCCGGTCGTCTGAGGGGGGAGGGCCTAGGGAAAAATTTTGAGCCGGGGGGAGGGCCTAGGAAAAATATTGGGGGAGGGCCTAGGTAAAAATTTTTTCCAAGATCCCTTTAACTCTACAACGTTTTTATACACGTTCAAAACATGATTAAACGCCGGTCATTGGAATCGGCAGAATTTTACGTTCCAATAATATCCATCCCTATTATTATAATGTATTCGCCCAAATCTCCCACAGTCCCCTTCAAAATCTTGCATTTTCGCCAGAATCGGCGAACTGGACTACACAGCCAAATTACATGCATTAAAATCGCGTCAATCGCGGCAATCGAAACGATACCGATCAAAAATGTAAGGAAGGCTTGTCTGAAGATTTTGAAAATTAATTTTCGCCGTTCAACTCACCCTTCCCAGTGGAGTGCGTGCGTCGGCAAAGGTGACCAGCTGGTCCCGCCTCGCAACTCGCTCGAACTTCTCGGCATGGATGTCGGATGTCGACGGATTAATTTGGTATTGTTTTTAAACCAAAGACTATTTTAACATGATTTATATCGATGTCCCTCCAAAGTTAATTGAAAACAACACGTAACTTGGCAATATTGTTTCCCTGTTCGTAATAAAATTGACGCGGATGAAGTTCGTGGACGAAAGGTAGGCTACTGATAGAGGATTTATAGCTCGATGTTCCAGCGAAATTTGTGCTGCCAAATTTCCTCCTCAACATGCAAAACATGGGTTGAAATTCAAAATTTTTTCGGGGTGGGACATGCCCCCCCCCCAAAAAAAGTCGGGCCTACTCGGGCTCTAGTGGCGCCTGCGGCGCGATGGCTCGCGCCTTCGGCGCTTCATGCGGGGAAAATTTTCAATCAAAATCTCGCCCTCCCCATACGAAATTTCACTCTCTATGATTCACGCCGGGGGGAGGGCCTAGGAAAAATTTTTTGAGGCGGGGGGAGGGCCTAGGACAAAATTTTTTGACCTGGGGGGAGGGCCTAGGAAAAAAATTTTTACACTACCCTCGGACGACCGGCCCCCCCTCCCCGGTAAATATCGTACAGTCCCTAAACCTTTCCTACCTTGAGTACTAGTTGAACCAGCTGGGTCCCCACACATCTCCTGGGACCTCCCCCAAAGGCACACAGATATCCCTCATGCCCTGCATTACTGGGAACAGAAATGTCCACATGTAGATGTTGTATTGTACTGATGATGACAGGTTTGAATGTCATCAATACCAGCACAAAAGGTGTAGTCTTTGAATAATTCTAAATTGGCAGGACGTTTCCTACTTTCTACTGACAACACTCCTTCAAGTCACATATCTGCCACCTTAAAACAATTCATTTAAAGCAATCTCCAATGCAATGTCCACCACTACAATGTGCTCTAGCATATCCAAACTGTACATACTCAAACACACTGTTTTTCAAAGTGGCAGATGTATCTAACCTAGCAGATTATTGTTAGTGGGGATTAATTTTTTTCTGTACACACAACAGATGGACACATCTCAAGACAAAGGTGTTTACCAGGTGCTCCATCTCTCCGGTTTGAAGCTGTGTGGTTCAGGGAAGATCTGAGGGTCCCTGTGAGCTGTGTGAGTCACATACATCAGGCCATGCTCCTTAGGGATCCTGTACCCAGCAAGGGTAAACTCCTGAAAATTACACAGAGCCACTTTGTATTATTTCTAAGCAGATCATTCTGTGACAAAGTTATAATGAACCAGCAAGGTGCTATTAAACGTCAGAAAACATGTTCATACATGATTAGAAACAATTTTATAACTTCCATTAAAGTTCTAAATTTTGATCTAAGGGAAACATCCAGTCAAACCTGTATAAAAGACCACCTCCACATAAGGACAATCTGGCCAATGTGACCACTTTAATGGCCCCCTGTTTAGCCTTCTTGGACAGTTTTGACTGTACTGAAGAAAAGTAACAGACATTTATCCCCCCCCCCACCTGTCTGACAAGTCTCCTCCCCCCGATGAAGGGTGGCCAGAGTCGCTGCACCTCCAGGAGGATGTGCTCCAGGAATGTCTCATCTTCCAGAGCCTTTTGTCTCATGGACACCTGCAAAATACAATCATAAGGTGAAGGAAAGAAAAGGGAAAGTGATCTCAAACTAGTTTAGCTCAATCAACAGCTACACTTCCACTGGTGGGAACAGAGAAGAAAGATTTTATATACTGTATTCATAGGTTCACTGTCCTGGTTAAATCTCCCTAGCTCTATTTGACAAGTACAAATGAACAGTGTACTAGGTTAACCATCCTTGTGACTTTTTCCAGTAGGATCGTACCATGTAGTTGGATCAGCAACAACAGGTGCATATTCCAACTCACGACCTTTAGGTCCAGATGCAGGGTTGCTAACCACTGCACTACACACACTGATATATGTCAAGCTGAACAAATAAAAACAAATTATTAGCTGTTCGTCTGTTTTAGCCTTTTCTCTGTTGTGTTTTGTGAAGGATTTGGATGGACAACAACTCACCTTACTGGGCCCTGCTAACTGTAGGGTGAAGGAGGTAAAGAGAGAGGAGAAAGCCTTGGGCACCAGGGCTGATACAAACAGTAACAGGTGCCGGTAGATTTCATCTTCCGAACGGAACCCAGCTGTCTTCATTAGACCTAACACATTGCTGTGGAAAAATAGATAGGTTAGAATTAAGAGATACTTCTTATCTGTGGCCAGCATGGTATAAAGGACTGGTAGGAACAAACTAGGTTCATAATGATGTTTTCAAATCACTCACAAGGTGAACAACTCAGTCAATAGCTCTAGTGTTGTAACAGTGTTCATAAAAAAAAAGATAGTGTGTTATACTTGTGCTTGTTCTTTCCTATCCGGTCTCTGATGATCTGCAGAAGCTCATCCTGAATAAATGGAAAGATTAATGGAAAGACTTTCAACAAATCTTACAAAGCTTTATTAACACTGCAAAAACACAAGGAATCAAATTGCAAAACTTTGCTCTTAACTTAACTTAACTTGACTTAAGCAATGAAAAACAGATAGCAAGAATTGCTATTTTTATCAATCCATATCATTGGCCAATGGCATGCCCTTATGTATAAATTCTGCACATACATGCCATAAGATGACCCACCTTAGCTTCCTGTGCTTTGCTGTAGCCTGACTCCCAGTTGCCTCCCCATGTCGGCAGCTTCAGATTGGCAGGCATGGAGATGATACCTGAAGGTCAGATAGACAGACATGACAAAGTTCAGACAATGTTAATATGCAGGGAAAACTGCATCTGTCTTCTCTGTAATGACCAGTGGAGGGGGAACGGGTTTTCTGCGCGTGAAGAATTTGCGCGTGAAAAACTTGCGCGTGAAAAATTTGCGCGTGAAAAATAAAAGTCTTAGAAATATGTTAGAAAATATGCAGTACCAAATTCTTAGGCAGGAAAATGTTGTCCTCTGGTATAATTTTCCCTCTGTTAGCCAAAATTTTTGTTTGAAAATGTTGGTCCCTTGGGAATAAGCTAATTTGCATAATTTCCATAAAACCTGACCTTTTGAAAATCACTTGAATTTGTAAGAAATACATGGAAAAGTTACTAGTATGAGGTTTAGGATGGTATAATGTAACAATCTGAAGCTTTTCTCCAGTCTAGAAGTTTGATTTCATGCTTTCTTAAACAAATTCTTTCACGCGCAAATTTCAACCTTTTTTGCGCGTGAAAACTTTACCTTTCAAAATAACCTGAAATCACCAAAAAATGGACAAAACAAGGGTATGCAGTCTAGAATGCAAGCAAAATGATGTTAGATTTTTATTTTCTTGTCTTTTTTCCAACTTTTAAGCTTAAAACAGCAAAAGTTTTCAAATCCCTCGGGAGTCAGCTAATTTGCATATCTTCACGCGCAGATTCTTCACGCGCAAGTTTTTCACGCGCAAATTTTTCACGCGCACAAAACCCCATCTCAGTGGAGGAATAGCGCAACTGTTCATGATCATTGAGTTCACTGAGATCATTTTTACCTCCTGAAAAAATATGAAGAAATTCTGCCCTTACCATGCCAGTGTTGAGTCATAAGTTGTGACACATGTGGACCAAGGCTGTTGTCTGCCTCTCTCTCAATGTCCAAGAACAAACCCATGGATATCTCTGTGGACATCTGCTTCAGGAGTTCATACACCTTCACAGGCTTCCTGTAGGGCAGG